AATCAGTGGTGGGCAGCACTAATTCAAATTTTAGTTGCACAATTTCTATAGTGCTGGTCAATTTATTTAGGTCTGCAAGTTCCAAAGCACATATGCCCAATAAAACTTAGCGGAAGCTAATCATAAAGTGCAAGATTATCTCCGTTTACCAGAAAACATTCAGGTATGAGAGCTCTAAATAGACATTATGATCTTATGGACCTTGGCCTTAAGAAATTTTCTATGTTTGGACCCATTTAAATTTTAATTGAATACCCCAGGCCTAACGTGTCTGAGTTGCCTGAAGTGGTCTTTGGCCCCGCCCCCTTTGCGGAAATGTACATTTGTGAATATGAAATTTGCCAAATATTCTAATTAGATTAATTGCTAATCTTCTGTTTATATTAGTATTCTTGTCCAAACCAAACATATGTTCATACCTTAATTAAAATTTAGTGTCAGTATGTCCATTTTTTAAAAATAGTGTCAATGTATAAGTGATTACATTCATTCTAAAATGTATTTGTGATAGGACAATTCCAGCATAAATAACTGATTGTTTCTGGATGCTCTGTCCTACTCTGCTCTGCAAAATTTACAGTTGTGGTCTATTGTTTTAATATATTTCTTCATGTACTGACTGGTGGGATAAATTATGTCTAACAGTTTAGAGCTAGAGACTCTAATATAAAAGGAGGCTATAAGGCAATTCAGTTCAGTTTAATTTTTAATTAGTTCAAATCAATCCAAATTAGATCAAATCCTTTGAATTTGCTTCAGTTAAACTGAATTTAATTCATTTTATTTATGTTCACTTTATTTCAGATCAATCCAAATCAGAGTAATGAACTTTTACATGAGTTGCTGAATAATAATATGACCTGTTGGTTCTGTYAACATGTGAGCCAACAAAACTCAAAGCCAACAGGCATCTGTGTGTCACAGAAATWTTATAGACAGAAACATTTCAGGTGTCTGTAAATTTTGTATTTTTCTTGGCAAATTAACAATATGATTAGAAAGAACAAACTGTCTTTCTTTGGGCACTTTCTGTTTTATGTAGCAGACTTTTCTGGTACTGTATCAGAACTTGAACTGAAGGTGGAGTCAGCAAATATTTATCACTCATTGGGCCTTATCAGAATCAGCTTCTCCTGACCTCGCTGAGCAAATATTACAAAAAGCAGAACACAAAAGAGATTTTGTTAGTACTGGATAGTATCCTGCATCATCTGGTGAGGTAGTTTCCTCCATAGAAGATCGGGAAGTTCTTGCATCCAAGCAATCCATCGGTCATGAAGGCTCTTTGCATGATCGGATCATTCCAGCCAAGCTGTTCCTTCGAGATCCTGCACCAACATCTTAGCTCTTGTGGTGAAGTGAACAATGTAGCCAAATGGATCATATTGACAGGGAAGTACTTTGTAGGTTCTGTTTCTTCCACATGTCTATGTTTGTACTTCAGGGAGTCACATAGACAATCCCAAGACAATCCAAGAGTTGACGAAGACTCRTGCTGGATTGTGAAAGCCATAGGAAGATGTTCAATAACAGCTGGGATGTTACTAGCCCACTGACATACCTTGAAACCTCCAATGTGAAGCAGCTGGCATAAACCATCCACTAGACCCTTTTGCTTCTTCTTTTGAAYGAGTGCTACGGAGACAGTTATCCATGTAGAATGATTGCTCTACACAGTCTACAAAGTTTTRGTTGGACTCASATGTRTCTTGAACATGTCGCTGTAAACATAGAGGGCACAGCAAGGACTGCAGGTAGTGCCRAAYGGCAGAACTTGCTACGCATAGATCTTTGGCTCTTCAGTGCTCTTCATGTCCTGCCAGATGAAGCGCAGAACGAGTCTGTCAGCTGGTAGAAGAYGTGTCTGGTGAAACATCCCTTTGATGTCCCTGCTTACTGCAAACTGGGTACTGTTAGAACCGTATAAGAACACCCTAGTAAAAAGGGACCTAGGGCAGGTCCAGGGAGGAGATGCTAGCTGAGCAATTTCCCTTCATACTGGAAAGAACAGTTGAAGACAATTCTGTCCTTGTTGTTGTGCCTTACTAGATGATGGGGTATGAACCAGGATTCATGTTGTTTTAGCTACCTCGGGTGGCACAACAGATATGTAGCCCATATCATCCAACCTTTTAATCTCTTGGCAGTATACCTCAGCATGCTTTGGGTCATTCCCTAGCCTCCTCTCAGCACCACAAAGGCTTAATCATTACTACCTCTATCGGTGCCTGAAGGATAGTGGTGTTGTCGTGGCAAAATAGCGGTGTAGCATATTGCTTTATCCCATCTACTGTTACTCCGGTGGCTGAGGACTGAAGGAAGTCAAAGGCCTGTTGATCCTGCTTTGATCTGGTCAGCTGTTTATTGCTCACATAAGGCATTGTATCAATCTGCCAAAGTCGCTTCACGTTCTTGTGGAGCTTCCAGTCTGGTGAAACCGTAGCTGAGCAACACGACAGCTCAGTGGTTAGCACCGACACCTCACAGCAAGAAGGCCCTGGTCTCTTTCTGTGCAGAGTTTACATGTTCTCTTCGTGCTTGCGTGTGTTTTCTGCAGGTACATTGGTTTCCCCCACAACACAAAAACATGTACAACAGGTTGCCTTC